AACCCTTAACGTGGCCTTAGCGACCAACACTATTATAAACCCCCATTATTGCCTATGTGACCAACTACGGCTTGTGTGGATCACAACTCATGACTTACACGACTCACGACTCGTGCAGCTCCTCCCAACTCCAACCTCTATGGAAAATGTATGTTATCACAAATCACACCACGACCTACATGAATAACTATGACCTACTTTACTCACACCTCATGAAGCTCCCAATTCTAGCCATTGTGGCCTATGAATGTTATTGCAGCTCGCCACTATAGCCTACAAGACAAGTTACGACCTATGTGACATAAAAGCTCATGCAACACCCAACTCCGGTCTCTATAGCCTACAAATCTTATTGCAGCCCACCACTACGACCTAAGCGACTAACTATGACTTATGTGGCTCACAATTCATGCAGATCCTAACATGACATCTGTGACATACAAGCGTTATTGTAGCTTACCACTACGACCTACATGCCAACTAAGGCCTACAGGGCTCACACCTCATGCAGCTTCTAATTGCCGCCTTGTCGCTTGCAGAATTTATCACAGCTCACAACTACGCCCTTTGTGACCAACTACGACAGACGTAGCTCACGGATCATGCAGCTACCAATTTCTGGTCACTATGACCTATGTAAACAACTATGACTCACGTGGTTCATAGCTCAAGCAACTCCTAAATCTAGCTTTTATGTCCTACGAAAGTTATTGCAACACATCACTGTGGGCTGTGACCAACCGTGACTTGCATGGGTCGCAACTCATGCATCTCACAAATTAGTCCTTTGTGGCTCATAAACATTATTGTAGCTAACTATTATTGCTTATGTGACCAACTACGATCTACATGACTTATAGCTCACAAAGCTCAAAACTACAACCTTTGTGGCCTACGAATGCTATTACAATTATATGTTATGGCCTATGTGACAAACTATGACTCATGTGGCTCACAGCTCCCTACTACGTTAGCTATGACCAACTGATGTTCCTGAAGCTACCGCGTATAGTCTACATGACCAACTACTACCACGATTTTCAACTAAAACCTCAACGGCAAGCTAGCGTTGCAACCACCATCTACAACATTCATGACGGGCTACTGCTTTTGTAGCAATCATCTAAAGCATTTGCGACCAGTTGACACTATATCAAACTGACATTCTTGAAGCTACCTCATACGAACTACTTAGCTAAGAGCTACCGTGAATTTAAACTACATTCTCTAAGACTAGTTGGCGCTACAGTCACAGTCTGCAACATTCATGGCGAGTGACTGCCCTCATAGAAATCAACCACGGTCTTTGTAGCTTGCTACAACTGTTATTGTTGAACTACTATTTTACATCAATACTATAATTCTACTCTCTCGAATTCAGGATATTTTTTTTGTCTTTCTAGAGTTTTCCACGTAAGAAAATTATAATGCCTTATTCTGTTGTTTTTCTTTTATTTGTGTATGGATGTTATATCTCATACTACACCGAGACACTAATTTATTACTCTACGATCGCTGTTTTTCTTACACATATCAAAATTCTTGACAATCTTATTGGTGAGTTTAAGTTATCAATGTTAAAAATATATATATTTTTTCTTTTGGTATTGAGATAAGTGAAGCAACCAATTCCAAATCACCAATGCAACTAACTCATACTATCAAAAAAAGTTTCTAAAGATTAAAACCTTGGCATAAGCATAAAATAAACTCATTGAATATTTCATCAATGTCAACACATCAATTGTATGAAGTTTGCAAATACTTTACTTAAACTCATTCATTTCTATGGCAAGCAATTGTTATGCTTCTGTTATGTAATTTTCTTTACTATGCTCAACTACAATACTTTCTATAAGGTGTCTCGGTTAAAGTTTGTAAATATAAATGAGAGGTAACCCAAGGATTATCATATCCTTTTTTTTATCTTATGCTTTCTAACAACATGATAAAATTTTATAGGCTTACATACTAATTTTTTTTCTTGTTGTTTTTCTTCCTCTAGATTTATTCTTTATTATTTCTAACTTGTCAGTAACATCCATGGATAAATCAGATTCAATCAAAATGATGATTTTGCTAAGTGTTTGGGTTTCTCTTTGAATTGAATGATTTTGTATTTACAATACATAAAATTGATACAAAAATAGAGTAACATTTCACAAGTAAAGTTTCTCTCCATTAAATCATTATAATGTATGACTTAAATTTTCTATTATTATTGCTAATATTGGATTATGATTTTAAAATATATGATTAAATTTTCTGGGAGAATTTAGATGTTGGGCATACTTTAAAATACTTTAAAATATTGGGATGTTGTTTACCAAAAATTATAAAGAAAATGCTTATTTCAAGAGTTTTCTAATAAGTATATAAGATAACAAGCATTGTTGAACGCATTAGAATGAACAACTAAAATAAATAGAGAGATAGTGAACCAGTAAGTGAATGCTAGAATTAAAAACATAAGAGTGTGAAAGCTAAAACTAAAAACATAAAAGATATAAAATATTATACTCAGTAAAGACTAAGGGTTGGTTTGGATCAACGGGCAAGGCTTTAAAAGGGATTGCAATCATAATAACATTTTATATTTGTTCAATATTAATGAAAATATAAAATAATAGTTATATATATATAAATAAAAATAAAAATACATCAAGTCATTGCTTCTTGCAAAGCATTTAAGAAATGAAAGTTTTCATAATTACAATCAAATCTTCAATTCCATGTGAGGTTTGTCCAATAATAGTTTTTTGAGGGCATTTGAACTGCTTTCACTCTCATATTTTTTTCTTCAATTATGTACCAGTGGCTAAGCTTGCATGATATGCGAAGTGTTCTTGAATTAATGTACATGTATAATTTTTAAGATGAGATATATAAGGATAAAATAAATATTTTTTGCTTTAAAATTAAATTTTATTGTGAAACTTGTAGTTATATTCTAGTAATGGTGATGATCATGTGCTTTTATTGCATTTGATAGCTACTTCAGATTATATAAAGAACAATATTAGAAGTTCAAGATGAACAGGAACATATAGCTTCTTTTGATTCTACACTTTGGACCACCTATGTAAGAAATAGTCATTTATACAAGACCATATGTTGCATAAGCAGTGGGAGCACCTACATGCTTATTTTAAGAAAAGAACATTATATTGGAACAAAATGAATATTGTGCTATCTTAATGGTATAATTGATTTGCTCTTCAGCTTAGAAAAACTAACTTAAAATGTAGTGATACTTTGATTTAAATGAAAGTGGATACCAATACACAGAGAGAAAAACCTTTATTTACTTCTATATTATGTTAATTCTATAATTAATTGGATGTTACAACCATAAGAAAATAATCATACTATCAACTATAGATGGTAAATATTTTATTATTACAAAATCTTTCTCACATAACTTTTGAAGGAATTGGATAAATTCTTAAGAGGTGTTGTGCTTTTTTGTGATGTTCAAAGCACCCTTCATTTGACTTGGAATGTCATATTCCACAACTAGGTTAAACATATACAACCCAAAAGTAGCTACATATAAGTTTTTGAAGCTAATGCTTTATTGTTCAATAAATTAAAAAAAAAAAAGATAGAAAACCCTGATATTATGCTCACAAAAAGAAAAAAATTAAGTTTCATAAAGCCTTATTTAACCCCCATAAATGATGAATTTTAGTGCAACACAAAAATATATTTGAACACTACTCACTAATAAGGCACATACAAAATTTATACTCTTAAGTAGTGTGATTGTTAACATTATTAAGTTAAGATTCTCTATTAAATGTTAACTAGATAAGAGTTTGATCACCTTTATATTGCATTTATTGAATTTTTTTAAAAAAAATATGATTAAATCTTTTTCATGTGTTTTGCAATTTTTTTTCTCAACTACCATAATAAAAAAGCAATAAATTCAAGTAGAAGTGAAAGAAGCAAGATAATATGCCATCCAAAAAAGAAATGGAGGAGTTTTTAGGTGCTTAAATTGGGAGGCATTTGGCCTCTTCAAGTGAAAATATGTTCTTCTATTATTATTATTTTTTCTTTCGAAAGTCTAATTGAATTACAATTATGATTACTATGAGTCAAAATATTTATTATTTCTGAAAAAAATTTTGCTTTCCAAGGCAATTCATGATCTCATTCTTTCTATAAATAGATCAATAGATGACTTCAATTCAAGGAGAAAATATTATGTGTAGTGACAGCACAACCGGACCAATACACGGTGGCCTCGCTTCATCCGGACCATCGTTTGGACGTCCACCCTGACGCACATAATATTTTCTCTAATTTAAAGCCTCAATGCACACACAAAAGAAAATGAAGAAAAATTAAGTTATAGTGATTTTTATGATTATTATTTTAAAATTTTTATAGCCATTAAAATTTAAATTATGAAGAATGTAATGCAAAGTTTAATTGCTTATTTATAAATTAAAAATAACTTGAAAATAAATTTAATTCATATTAAATTTATGTCAAGAAATCCTCAACTCAAATTCATTAATTGTACATAAAACTAATGCACGATGGTGCACTTTACCGTTCATAAGTATAATCACATGCCATTCATTAATTCCAATTAATCTCCTTCCGGTAAAACGTAAAAGGAGAAAGAAATCCATTCGATTTTGCAATTAATATCCCTATTAAACTTTACCCCTTATGGACGAATGGCGAAATTCAAAAAAGTATGGGGCTCCTCGGAGCTAAAGACTAGAGGAAGAGTAGATATGTAATTATGGGAAAAAGCATGAGTTTTAGCATTTAAGTACCCTTTTTTTTTGTTTTAATTGTATTCTACGGAAGCAATTTTATCTTGCTTTACTACCTTTAGCAAAATAAATTAAAAGAAAAACCTTTGAGATTACAAATAAAAAACTTCCTGGAAAAAATCGCGGGGGGAGGG